CTCCTGTTAAGCCGTTTTCACAAGATCAACCCTGATAATATCAGCAGGAATTAACACGGTATCGTACCAAATTACATCTGATTAATGACCACCGATGTTTTTAAAATTCATTATTACATTAAATTTCTTGCCATTCAAGACACCTTAATGCTATACTGATCTTAAAAAACAATTACAGATATCACGACATTGTTAGTGAGCTTACTGCATGTTTATACATGCATCACGGACGTAAATTCAGACTAATTATACTATAATATCAGTAAACGAACAAAAAATGTCATACATTTTTTTTTAATTCTACCAATAACATATGGCTAGTGAGGAGAATATATAAGTCATTTGTTTTATTTAATGTCACTAATTTAAACATTTAAGGTCACTAATTTTAACTTTTAAGAAAATAATTTTTTACAAAAAATGTTTGTCTGTCAATTTCCAAACTTTTTTTTAAAAAGAATGTTGAACCATATGGTTTGCTGATTTTTCTTTAGATATACCGTAAGTTTTGGAAGATAGGACGATACTTTTTTTCTCAGAACCGCTGGGATCGTCCTATTGAACGAATCGACCTATCTAAGGCCCAAGTTTACGAAAAATGCCCCAAAATCAGTAAAATTTACATCAATTTTAAAGCAAATCTGTGCCATTTTCGTATTTTTTTAAAATTACTTTACCGAGAAAAAAATAATAAACAATAAAGAATTAAATATTTATTCCATTGATTTCTTACAAAATAAGTTCCATTAAATATCCGTCGATGTACAAAAAAACTTATTATATCATCAATAATGTCTCAAAGTATATTTACAACATGCTGTGTCCATCTTGTGAAGTTGGAAGTCGCAATCGTTTACTAAAAATAAAACCGCAACCGTATCAAAGTTTAAAATACGGAGGAGTTTTCACAATCGCAATTGATTTTTTTTTTATTACCATTTATTTGTAATGATTAATTGAAATAGTATACCTAAATATTTTTTCATTGTCTTGTGATATTTATTTAAATGTAAAATGTGTGAAATAAACTGTTGCCAGTAAATTCCTAAAATACCGCTAGTCATAACTATTTTGTTTTATATCCAAGGGGTACACCGAATTATACAAAGATTGGCTTCTAATAGAATTTTAATTGTCTGACAGATAGAGGGATATACACTGTGTACACAAAGGTGTTAACACCTGTAGGTATAAACACCTGCGGGGCATGATTAACAGATCCACGTGCCGTTACAGGGGTATTAGTGCTATACATCATTGAACAAACAAAACTGTGAAATTCCTGATGACTGTTAAATTGCGAATGTACTCTCAATTAAATTTATTTTTTAACAACAATATCTCAAGCAAATTATAGCATGTTAATATGATTAATTTCAATTGCTCACTGTTACATGTAATAGTCATTTGCGTGTTTTAGCAAATCCCTGAACAAGAAATATAATTGGCGGTCATCGCACTTAATATTGTACCCTGGTAAATAATGTTGGAATAAAAGAATGTGTCCACGATGTTCTAAAATGGAAATGATTATTGTTTGATTTCGGGTATTTCCCTAATTATAGCTGTTGTATACTACCGTATTTATGTGTTTAACGACGGAGTCAAACAACGACGGCGTTGAACAGGCAAGTTGGAGAAAATGCGTTATATCACAATTCAAGGAAGTTTTAACTATGTTTGTGTAAAACACTATTAAAATGCTGTACTCATAAAAATACCAGTTTATTTTCTTCATACGTTAATATCACGGGTTAAGTTAAAGACCTTTACATGTTCTGATACGTAGTTTCTACGTAAGAATCTCTAGAAAATCGATAAACAAAGCCTCGTCCTATCTTCCAAATCGTCCTATCTAAGGATTTTTAAAAAATTATGGCTGAAAATGAGCCTTTCGACCTATATACCCCATCGACATATACCCCAAAACTTACGGTATTTGAATTAGAATTTAATTTTTAAAAAAATTATATTCATATTGGTTTAATAATTTATGTTATTCATAGTTAAAGAAATGCACATATTTTTAGAGATATTCTTAAAGTTTCAAACAAACAGTAATTTTATCGCCGACTAGATACACCAGATACACCATGTACAATTGTCAGGTGACCTAATTCAGGCATAACGCACATTAATTAATTCTTTAAACTCCAATTTACTTATCTATTTATTTGCTGAAAGACAAAACAGAGAATATAACCACTCACATAACATCGACGAAAACGATATGAAATATAGGCAACCTGTCGAAAAGCCTGCGCTTATTGAAAATAGTTCGCTTACAATATGCATTCAGTAGCGTATGTGCACAAATTGTTATATCACGATTACCCTAATAAAGTAAATATCTAATTCCTCTTTCAATTTAATTCTCAAACAAAAATATTGATCAATTAACAAATCCATAGATTGAGATGTAAAAAATATTTGTTTAAGTATCGTCTTTCAATGTGACTATTTTGTTTATCGGAAGCGTCTGCTTTGACGCTGTTAGGTTTTTTGTTTACTTTTCTGAACATGTGCTATTAATAGTAAGGCAGTCGATCACGATGCCTACAGCCAGGACTTTGCTTTCAGCAAAGCCCAGCTAAAAATGACAGTAAATATCAGTAATTATCAGAACCAACAGTAATTATCAGTAACAACAGTAAAAATCACTGGCGGATTTAAGGGGGGGGCATGGGGGGCGCACGCCCCCCCTAAAATTTTCAAAGTATGACATGACTAAAATTAATAATGCCATACTTTGTTTTTATAATTAATGTTCAATAAAAAAAAATGGTAATTTTAGTTAATGACCAAGTATCGGTTTTCTTAAAAATCAAGTCTGAAAACCATGCACCCTCCCTAGGCTATGAATATTATCTCATAATTATTCAAACCGGAAAACGTCTCCCGATTTTGTTTGAAGGGTAGACTGCACTTGTCAATTTCCTATCATGTTGCAAGGAAAAATACTGCAATATTTAAAGGCTGGTCGAAGGTAAATTAATGAATTTAAAATCAGACGGTCTACGTTACAAACCCGTCCACTGATTGATGTATTTATTTATCAAATGGTGTAACTATGCAGTAATTTACTTACATAGATACAAGACTTTTTTCATTAAACACATCTCATATTCTTTCCATATAAATGGAATTTAACGTCAGGATATAGGTTAGGATGATGTAACTTCGACCACCTGGTTGATTTCGACCGTTCATAAATACCTTAAAATAATTTGTTTATAACCCATTATAGTGTACATACATCTACATATACTTTATGCAGAAAGAAAATACAATTTTCATATACAAATCAATGTCGATAATAATCGGCGAAATTTATTTCTTCACTGGAAAATTACATCCAAGAAGAAACTTTATCGCCCGAAAAATTACGGACAAGTATTTTTAAACCATTGCGGGGAATTATCAGTTTATCACCTCTGAAAATATCTTGTATATATAGAAAGACACAGTGGATATTCCTGGCGTGAAATTGATCAACTATGTTTAATTTTGCAACTTCAATTCATACCTTTTTAATTTATAGTATTTAGTTTTTACTAATAAAATGCAAATCAGCTGAACAGAAATCTGCCGAAGTTACCCATGCATGAATACGGCGTCAGCGGGTATCTCAGTTCGACCAATGAAAAAGACGCAATACTTTTTGTTACCAGAAAAAAAATCATGACCACCGTCCGTATAAAGAAATTATTAGGATAAGTATTTTGTATAAGAAAACTCCGTAGAAACTAGTTCTGTAACAGTGAAAAAATCATCTGTTCTGTTTACATGCGGTTTAGATGCCTGCGCATATATGTACATGTCATTTGTAGCATGCCTTGACAAATCGGTAAATCAGTCTCTAGGCACCTGGTGCACTTCATGTCTTCAAATTAGGTACATTTAAAAATTACTTCTTCTTTTTTGTCAGCATTTTTTCACAATCTTTTATGTTTTACAACAGAATAATTTATATTAATATATATATATATATTTTTAAATTAGAGGTGACGCGAATAATTTCGTTTATATTTGCACATCGATCGAAAATACCCCGTGTGCGGTCGAAGTTACCCAACACGCATATCTTGTAAATCGAACACATTTATTTTATATCATGACAAATAATACATATAATACAATTAAAACTGAAGAATAAAAGGTATTCCGAAGGAAAATGGATCCAGTAAAAGTTGAGCATAATACATGTAATAGGCAGTGATATACTTGAACAAATCTAAATATAAAAAAAATAATCGGTCGAAATTACACCACGGTACTTTGAAAAACATTCAGATTTTTGTGACTTCTGGTATATCTAGGTAAAATGCTATTTTTAAAATCTGATCTTGTTTGTTCGTTGTTTTTTGGTTTGTTTGTGTGTGTATGTATTTTTTCTTTTAAAAAGTGAAATATCGTAGTGTACGTAGCTAATCAATACCACTATTTTTGTGTCTGGTTCTACTTTTAAAATTCACGAAAACGCAGGAGCTTCCGGGGGCTTCGCCCCCTGGGCCCCCACCAGGGCTTCGCCCTGGACCCACTGGGGGCCCAGACCCCCTGCCTGAACGAAGTTATCCACGCCCCCCCCCCTAACCACAAATCCTGTATCCGCCCATGAAAATATCAGCAAATATCAGAAATTCTCAGTACCAACAGTATAATATCAGTAAATATCAGCAAAAAGTGGCACTATCAGTAATTTTTTAGGCCAGTAGTGTTGATTTGACTCTTGGTCAAGGAGATAATTTTTGGCCAATTATGTATTGAATACACACCTATAAATCTAATCTTGAATTTACCATCCGTTAAAAATCTCGGCCCTCATCAAATAAACAAGTTAACGTCATCGAGTACCCCCCCCCCCCTTTTTTTTTAATGTTATTTCATTACTCAGAGAAAAATTGAAATATGTAGTCACGTCTTAAGAAAAACTAAAGAATTGAAATCTAATTTATTAAGAGAAGCCTCTTCTTAACAATCATATGTTAAATAAATCATACCATCTTATCCTTCGCAATTTAACACGTGTTGTCTAAACCCGGTTCCTTCGGAAAAGAACTATTTTACCGCGCATTGATACTTTTTTTACTATCACCAAAGACATTTTTTTTTAAATAATAACCATACTCATTCTTAAGTTAGGACTAGAGATATAGAAGTAGAATGGCTGGTAAGATATACTCACGAATATAACAGAAACATTTATTGGATTTATACTCTAGAGAGTCAAACGCCGGAAAGTGTGTTGCGCCACCTTGAGAGTGGCGGCTATTCCGAATTTGCCAGGACACGTATTCTTGATAGTAAAATGCTGCATGAGGTGTTATTTGCCTTATCAGGACACTGTGGTGGGGTTTTCAAAAGTGTAGAAGGAGAGATAAAGGTTAAATTTATAATATTTAGAATTTTATAGAAATCCTATTAGCTATTTAGGAGCGGTCTATGACGGCAGTGTCACACTCACTACAGGTCCAGCACAATACCCTGATAAAGGTATATAGCTTGATAAAGCTATATAGCTTGATAAAGCTGTATAGCTTTATCAAGGTATGACGAATACCTTGATCAAGGTATTTTATGTTATGAAAATACAAAAAAAAAAAATTCTAAAAAAAAATACTGAAAATCGAGTTCTGAGTTGTTGTCTGTAAATTCACTCATGCATGTAAAGTACTCAAACACAAAGAAATCAGAATAAAAGTATGTCCTGCGAGGAGACGTTCTTTTATGCTGTCTTTTTGATACCTGAGTACTTTTCATGCACTAGTGAACACACTGACCACAACTCATAATTCGACTTTTAAATTTAATTTTTTTAAGATTATTTTTTGTATTTTCATGACATAAAATACCTTGATCAAGGTATTCGTAATACCTTGATAAAGCTATATAGCTTTATCAAGCTATATACCTTTATCAGGGTATTGTGCTGGACCTGGTCGATATGCACGACCGTCGTGTACTTACTTTTTCATCGGCTATTCGCACGACCGTTGTGTATATAATTTTTCAGTGACTATTTGCACGACCGTCGTGTATATAATTTTTCAGTGACTATTTGCACGACCGTCGTGTATTGTATTTATTAATCAGCTGACCTATTCGCACGACCATTATGTATTTCATTCGTTGTTTAGTCCCCAGTTAAGTTCGGCACGCACTGGTTTAAGCCTGAAAACATTTTCGTAAGAAAACATCAGAAAAACTTTCTTTCATAATGTTAATTTAAATAGATATGTAGATCTAGTTGATATTTTAAACACTAATGAAAAATAATCAAAGACAACTGTCAAAATCTTTAAATTTAATCTTTTCAGTAAGACAAAAATATTTGTAAAAATCTAATTTATTTCATATGCCCTAGCTCTGTTGAAAATGAAAATATGTTATATATGCTAAAGTGACATATAGGTCCAATGGGCACTGGTCGTTGTAAAGCCTCGTATTTGTATATATTCACATGTCACTATAACCATAACAGAATATTTACTAACTATTTTGGTAGGCTTGTGGTTATACCCCATCCACCTCAAACCAAATCTCCAAAAAAGCCATAGTTCATTTTCGCCTACTCTAGTAGTGATTTCTTAAATACACTTTTAACCAAAATTTTGTCATACAACCTTAGTTTATACATATGTAATCTCAAATTAACAATAATGATATTTATACGTTAATAGTTCCCCTATATAATAATTATAAAAATCATCAAGTTTGTATGGAGTATATAGTAAATATTAAGGTATCTACCTAAACAATGACAAACTGTTGACAAAGACCATGCACCCTTAACCAGAAAAACAACACTTGAATAATTTTGTGTATTATGGCACTTTATTTTGGTTAAAGGTGGTCTAAATTCATGTTGAAAATGGTGGAAATTTATATATATTCAATTCTTCATCTCAAATTATTTTAAGATTTGGCAACCTTTCTTAATCTTAAATTCATCTATTCAATTTCGATGACTTCGTGGCGCAGTGATATGATTGCTGAAATGTAAATGTGGTGAATCCGAGTGCGAGCCCAAGATTTTTCCAGTTGTGCTCTTTTATTTAATTTTTTTCTTTGTGTATTTTTTCTACGTTTTCTTTACTATGTTTTAAAATAAACATAATTTCAGAAAGTCATAATATACATGTTACACTTTGAGAGTATCTTGGGAAAAGGTAGTTCTAAACTATTTCATTAAATTTTGTATAGTTACTTGTTTTATTTTTATTGATTTTCTAAATCTTTTGACCCAAAATTAGAGTAATGAACATGTAAAATGATTGTTATATGACAAACATGTATTTGCAACTATGAAAATGTAACACTCGTCCACAAATGATATTACATTGGTTGATCTTGAATTGAAAAAGAAAAGCTTAGGGTCATTTCTTTTTAAATTCTTGAATCGGCTCTGTCGTCGGTAAGACAGCTATGGCTCTTTGCTTCCCTGCCCACGTTCAATTCTTATATTTTTCTGTAATTAATTTGGTCATCAATATTGGGCCGAAATATGCAGTGGCAGATCCAGAATACAACATATGTGTGAGTACACTGTGTGGGTTGAGGGCAAAAAAGGCTATATAGGAGGGTAATGTAACTTTTAACCCCTCCTCCCTCCTACATGTATCTTCGCTAGCCAAGTGTGAAAGTTAGTGTCTAACCCTGGTGATCCGCACATCTTCTCTTTTAGAGCGGGTGTTGAGTGATCATCCCCCTTTCTAATCTTCATTTGTTTTTTAAAGATTTGTTTTTTATGGCTAATAAATTGCTTCATCTACATTTTTATGAAACTGATAGAAATTATATATTACGATTCGGTTGCATTCTTGCATTCTTCTGGGCACACTTGAATACCTTATACCTATCCTCGTGCATCCATATATTTTATACAGGAATGTAGAATAATCAATTATCCACAGAAGAAGCTGCACCATAAAAAGAGAGGGGTGTGAAAAGAAATGGCTGTAGGGTCATAATATTTAATTCAGTTTCAAATAGAAATACGTACTATTAAAATGGAGTAGCCTTCAAGTTGGAAAAAATTAGAAATAGAAAGACTTTAAAGAAATGAGAGAGTACCATAAAGGGGACACGATCATGTGTTCCAGTCCATTCAGACTAAAACTTACATGTACTACTAACTAGTGCAATATGATATTTATGTCCCAGTCCTGTTTCTAAACTTATGTATTTTACAGATAGGGGAGTGTGCCTAAGACAGCTTTTTTCATCTGATGTTGGATTGTAGATCTTACACTGATGTCAATCCCATGTTTTATAATTTTTTTTTATTTAAATTGAAAAAAGTTGAGGTAATTAAATATCAACATACATGTAATAATTACCATGATTTAAAAAAAACTGTCAATGAAAAAAAGATTAAACATTAATTATAAACGATTAAAAGATTTATGTTTGTCACATAAAGCCAGAGACAGGCTCATCTACACTTTAGTCTATCAGCTCAGCGTCTGCTCTACAGTCATGGAGTAAGGAGTTGATCCTTACGTCGTGGGTTCGAATCCCACTATAAACCGAGGTCGGGTGTCGCAGTAGGTGCTGGCACGAAAAAGATCCCTCACTGCTCAATGGCCCTAAGTGCCGAGCATAGGAAATTTGCAGCTCTCCATCGGCAAGTAGTGGCGTCTCCGTATCATATGATAATGAGTGAAACAACAACGTTAAACAACAAACAAATAAAATCTGATCGGGATCGGATCAGTTAAATTATTGATTAATTTGAATTTTTTACTAATTCCTAATTTAATGTGTGTAAAAAACAAATTAAAGTAAAATGTCCGTTCATAAATGCAAACATTTATCTAATAAGAGTATTTAAATGTCAAAAAATTGACATGAAAATTCATACTGGGTCAAATTATAACTCTAAATGATCGTGCAAACAACGTTGTGTCTTCAAGCACACAACGGTCATGTATACATATGTAATACTAGTGGCTATTACCGTCGTGTGCATATCACTGGCAATGTGCGATTGCTATTTGCACGACCGTTGTGTAAATAGATTTTTTCTTACATATGTGCATGACGGTCCTGTATATATCTCAGCAATATGCAATAGCTATTCGCACGACGGTCGTGTAAATAGACTTTCTTTACTATGCGCACGACGGTCCTGTATATATCATCGGCCGTCTATGACAACTTGTTTTGAAAGACAACTCATACAGTAATCTCAGCGAGATCCGTAGAGACTAAAAATTTTGGTCTGGTATCTCTACGGATCTCAGACCAGTATCACATAATCTCATTCGGGGTTTCGTGCCCGGACTTCGACCGCTTGTTTCGATTAATACAGGCTGAAATGAATTGGCTGTCCACTTCAACTTTTTGTTTTGGACATCCTTTTAATTCTCTATCACCATAAAACTTTCGTTTCTTACTTCTGAAAGGTTTAAATCCTTCAAAATATAAAGTTGTTGATTTTTCACAGCAATAAGCTATTCGTTTAAACCTCCGATGCCGAAGAGTTCCAGCAATAGTAGAGATACCAGACCAAAATTTTTAGTCTCTACGGATCTCGCTGAGATTACTCATACAGGTCCAACACAATCTCTTGATTTAGCTATATAGCTTGAAATAGCTATATAGCTTTATTAAGCTATTCAAAATAGCTTGATAAAGCTATTTATATGCAGTTTTTCACAAAAATGTTTTTTGTAAGAAATAGACAGAAAGTCCGAAGTATGGGCTATCAAAACAACAACTGAAATCAAAGATAGTTTTTAACATTGCAGCATTTGAATTCTTTTAAGCAAAGATGTATTTCCATTGTTTGAGTAACTGTACACTACCTAGTGTATGTTGAGGCGTGGATAAGTATGATCGCTTCTCATTGTACTGAATTATTGCCAATCAATTATCTTGTTGACCATAATTGGCCTCCTTTATAATTTCATTGCAGAAGTAACTGTATCAATTGCTTTATATAGCCCCAAAACATTTAGAACTCTAAGTACAAAGTCCCTTATGGAGACGCAATTTGATGAGTGATTTTTACATGCATTAAATTCAAAAGAGTTCAAGGTTGAAT